CTTATGTTACACAAAGATGTTCCTAGCTATCCCCAGCACAAAAACTACTCAATGCCACGTCAACACCCTTGGAAGGTCTGTCATGATGTGGTCAGTGGTATGTGTTCCTGTTTTGCTTTTCATAAAATGTGATTTCCAGTGAATTCTTAACAGTCCCAAAAATCTGAAAACCAAAATCCAAGGTTAGTCACCTCAAGTTCACTAGAGACTGAAAATAACTTTCTCACAGACATAAAATATAAGTCTTTTCCAGATTGTTAAAACACAAGCACTACATTAGGGAGAGATGTTTGCATAGTTTTTTACAGTGATGCTTTTATACTTAGGAAAAACTTGTCCTTCTGTGTGTTTGAGACTAAATTTTTGAAATGTCCTTTCAGGAAGAGCCATGTCCAAATGTACTGAGAAGCCATGATTTATTTATTCTTATCTATTCTTTTATGTGTCAATCAGACCTCTTATTTTTTTGTTGTTGTTGCAGAAATTTCATGCAGTATGATCATCTGTACTGAGGATTAGAATGTCTGTTCATTCTCTTTTGCTTTTCTTACTAACATTACATTTCTATTCCACACTCTGGTAAAATAGTCTTGCAGTTCTGACCTGCTTATGTTAATAATGTCTATCCTAAGACCTGTTTTTGTGAAAGGGAAGTTCTAATTATAAATGATGTGGCATATATAAGGTGACTCTATGCTAATAAAGGCAGAAAGGGTGAGAAAGACAATTTTGTAATGACTGGAAATTCTGTTACACAAATGAAGTTCTCAGCATACCCTGGAAAGAGCACCTGCCAATGGGGACACTGTAGTTGCAGTACATACTACAGAATGTCAAAACTGAAGGCCTCTTAGATAAGCCTTTCTTGAAGAATTTAAGTAATTCTTTGAGTGTCTTTTTTGTGTTAGTTTGTTTCTGGCATGGCTTTTGACAAAACAGTACGTGTCTTTTAAGTGCAGTAACTGGAGAATGAATGGGAAGGTATATTACATTTTGTACAAGGGCTTTAATTTTAGAATGGTGTTATTTTATTAGTCTACTGGGATCCAAAGGGTTCTTAAAATAAAAAGTAAATTTCCTTTTCTTTTTTAGGTCTCTAGATATCCTACTTCTTTTCCAATGTACTTTAAAAAAAACACTAACAAAAATTCAAACCAAAATCTTCAACACCCTTCTCCCTCAAAAAAAAAAAAAAGAAAGAAACCACAAAACAAACCACCACTACAACAAACCCTGACCTTAAACTCTAAAATTAGGTTAAATTTTGAATCTGACAAATCTTTAGGCATGTGATAGTGTTTAATGCCAGTAAAGATTTCTTTCAATTAAATTCTGATTCTTAGTAACTGCAGAAATTCTCTTTGTGTACAAAAAATTAGAAAATTTTTCTTTTCTTTGAAGTTGTTCTTGTTAAAATGCAGATAATTTGTATTTGGCTGTAGAAATTGAAGATGGGTGAGGAGATGCAGTTTGTGCTCTTCATAATGCACAACACTTTGAAGGTCCTTTTTGGTGGAGGATGGTGGGTGATGTGTCTTGGAACAGTCACTCTTCTTGATACTAGAATTCACATATGTTTGCTAACAAATGCTTAGCATGTGGTGGATGTTTTAGTTTTGTTTTTCTAAGGTCTGTTACCACAGACCTACATTTATGGTACAGTCTTATTTCCTTCGTTTCTACTATGCTCGTCCAGTTTACTAAAGTTTTGCTTCTCCATGTCATAAATGAACAATAATAAATAGTGCCAGATAGATAGATGTTAGATTTGAGAATTCGTTATGTGAGATAAAATGTCTTACATTGCTTGATTATCCTAGGGATGTTGACTTAATTCGAGGAATATTTACTCACTTTGTTCTGTTCTCACAGTACAGAGCTATGTTTCTCATTCCTGAGTAGGTAGAATTTTAAGTTTTAATTTGATAATACATGCTACATATACTGGCTGATTTATAGGTTACATTGATTTCCTATCATTTGCTAATGTTTTTTAATCTTTTATTTCTGTTGACACTACTTGTTTATTGAGATATGGTAAACCTCATGTAAAATTGAAGATCTTTTTTGTAAGGATTGGGGCAGTTTTCATGTAATTCAGCTACTATGAGAAAAAAATCTACTTAATATAGGGAAAGATAATGCAGTGTTGATGTCAGTTCTTGTTATGTGCATTGAGACCTTTTATGTGCTGCTGTTCAAAACAGAGGGAAAGATCTTGTGTAGAATGTCCTGTTCCAATACTTAATTTGATAATTAGAAATACATGGTGTTTATAGTAAGTTACCCTGGTCCATGTGCTGTGAATAGGAACAAAATAAATTCCTATATTCCTCCATGTAGTACTAGGATTTATTTAAACATTTTATCCATATAGGTGGGGGCTTGCCTACTTCATATTTCATCAGCTGAGCATTATTTGGAATTTATAGGAAAGAACTGATCTGTTGTGAAGTGGTTTGGGTGCTTTCTTAGTATATAGCATTCAAACACTCAGGCTATGGAGCAGGTAAGGTATGAGGACTGTGATTTTATGGAATTTGAGGAGAAAAGTTTTGAAGGAATGTATGGAGGAAATGGATATGTAGATCATGAAGCACTGAGCTGAGTGAGAGGGAAAAAAGTTTGCCTTATTCAACCAGTCATACAGTCAGTATGATATTAATATAATCAGCTTGCTTACTTTGAAGATTTTCCTCCATGGCTCTTGGCTCTAAGACTGCTGATTGTAGTTCAGCTGGTCACGTAAGGAACATGCTGACTTTTCTCAAGTGATACTGAGCTAGGGAAAAGCTGGAAGCTGCTACTGCCTAAAATAGCTACCCTTGTTAACAACTCCATATGAACATTAACTGTACCTTGTGTGCTATGCTTAAGCTGTCTTGAGGAATCAATAATGCTGTCCTTGTGCTCAAAACTGCAGGTACATCTAAAACTGCTTCTTCCATAGTTCATTCATCTGTCCCATGTTCTGATGTGTTTTGAAAAATTGATCAATGTTGTTTAGTGCGTTCCTACAGTTAACTGTAGAAATGGTTCTGTAATGCAGGGAGAAAACATTTTTCCTTTTATTTCTTGCTCTGCACTCAAATAGCATATAAAAACAAAGGCTATAAATTATGTACCTTGCATTTTATTAGTTCATAGTGCTACATGGATTTTTATGAGTTAAATGTAAATAGTTGAATTTGTTATTACGGGTACAGTCATGTTTTCCCAGTTTCCACTGTTGCCAGAACTGAGTTGAGCAAATATAACAAATCAGAAATGTAAGGGAGGAGTAGCACATGCTGGTACAGTAATTTAAACACATGGTCTGTGAAGCATTACAGTGCAGTGTTTTTACATCTGTATTATCTTTACCTGTTTTCCTTGCTTTGCAAAACTGACCAGCAGAAAAGTGAAAAGTTGTTCCCCAGTATGAAGGTTTATATATAGTCCAGTATATATAGGGCAGTCTTTACTATGTTGCACCATGTTTTATAAATAAATAGGCTTTAAAAAGAAATAAAGAAGTCTTGCTGTATGTGGCATGTTTCTCAGTGAAGCTGAATATTTGAAAACCTGTGCTACCAAAGATGCAGTGTGCTTAATAGTATCTTGTTGAGGTTTAACTCCGGCCATCAAACATAATTTATTGGTGTGATGATCAGAGGGAAGCCAGATTCATAACCCAGCACTAGCCATGGTAAAGAAAATAACCTCTACCCCAGACAAAACCAGCACATACTGTATTAAACGAGCTACTACGGTGTGTCTGTAACTCTTTGGTCTGAAATAGCTTATGTGCATGGTTAGAGAGTGTTAATGTACATATGTTAAAACTTCTTTAAAAGCTAGTTTGTGGTATGTCTACCTTGTAACAGAAGATTAGAATGTGAGTAGTTTGACATAAGTAATTATTTTGGTGACTACTGTTTCATTTTATGTCCTTCTGAATTTGTTACTTGTTGTGGTTTTGCTGAAGAATATGACAATGGGCACTCCATGTAATCCAGAAAAGCATAATTTTAAGCATAATTTATTTAAAGTATGAATGGTACCAAGTTAATAATGCATTGGATTCTAATTTCTAACAATGCTATCTGAATGTGATTTTTAATTTGTACCGGTTCTAAATGATCAGATAACAAATTCCGCTGTCAGTGTTCATGTGCATTTGGAGTTGTATCTTTGTCCCCATGTACTTCTCAGAGCAGTGTTGTTTAATGACATTGAGATAATATTGATGCTTGTTATGAATAGACTGCATCTGCTGCTTATTAGCAAAGCATGCTAATCATATACTCCAAAAGAAAAATAATGATTGATTACACTTTTGTATTTCTGTTGAATTGAATACTTCCATGAATGACAGTCGTGAATGTACTTGCCATTTTTTCAAAACAGAGAAATCTAAGCTTCCAAGGTTTTGCAGAGGACTGGGTGGGTTACTTGACAGTCCTACTGTCCTCATCTTTTCGCTTGAAGTTGAAAGGCAGCTGCACATTCCTTTCACATTACTGCTTTACTGTGACTGGTTACTTCACCTACCACAGAGGGATTGTTCAGGTGTCAGTGGGGAGAGAAGTCTGCCCGATAATCTGAGGATGTGGTGTATGCACAGAAAGTTTGGGAACACTAATGATTGCATACTGGCCAGTTCATTACCACTCCCTAGGCCCTGGATATGAACTCATCATGCCAAGGTACTGGACTGTGCTTGAGATTCCAGACATATCTGGCTTGGTTTGAAAATCTGTGAAGTCACATTTAAAAATGGCAAATAAGTGATCAAAGAGAGAAGGATGCAAATGTTGGTTGGGAAACTGGTGGTGGCCAGTGCAAGGATTTGGGAATCTGACATACAGTGATGCTTAGAGAGAATCCAAAAAGTTCTTGTTTGGTTTTGAATATGGCTGTTGTTGGCAAGCTTAACCTTTTGTTGTTAAACTTTCTGTGCTAGCAGGTCATTGTTGTGAATGCATGACTGTCCTAACTCTTGCTTTGTTTTGTCCTAGTCACATTGATCAAACAACAACATGGCAAGATCCTAGGAAGGCCATGCTTTCCCAGATGAATGTTACAGCTCCCACCAGTCCTTCTGTGCAGCAGAACATCATGAACTCAGCATCAGGTAAGCAGAATTTGCATTTATGAAAAAGATCATACAAGTAAACCACAGGCTATTCTAATCAGGGGAGAGGGAGTCCAGATTTAATAAATGTTCTTCTACTCTTCCTGGTTTGAAACTTTAAATTTGTTGATGCCTGATTCATCAAACAAGAGGCTGATAGTTGAAATAATAGAATTTGTATAATATTTATGTTGTCAATAAAAAGAACACTGTAGTTCTTTGATTTATGTTTTTATTTTTTCAAATGAATGGTTCAAAGTTGTAAGGAAGCAGAATTTTTCTCTATTTTCTTCTGACCACAAAGTGCTGTTAAATTGATGAAGACTAGAATTTCCATTCAATTAATATCAATTTACATTAAAGCTTTTGTGCTTCACAGCATTCTTCTGCCTCTTTTTGCTCACTGACTATGTTATACATGTTATACCACCATTTACTTACATTTCGTGCCTTTAATGTGAACATATAATTTTTTCCTGTTGTCCCTAAATGGATCAAGCAAATACCTTGAAAGTCTTGTTTAGAAGCAGAGATGTTTTTGTTTTCCTTTTGTCTTTCTCTTACTTCCAAAATCCAGTGTCATGGTCATTATTGCTCTAACTGGAGGAAGTCTGTTGCCTTTTCCTGGAATATAGAATTGTTTTTCAGCTGGCTGGGGGCAGGGGTGGGGGGGGGCTCTCACTGGACAGCAGTAAAATGTTCTTGTTCTTGCTATAGAATCTACTATATATACTGTGTGTTTTCAGAGCTCTCTCATCTGATTATGCAGAGAGCAAGCAGATAAATTTGGTACCATGCTTGTTTGAGTGCTTGGTCTTGCCCTGGCTTTGTCACCTCCTGTCTGTCACTGAGGTTCATGTTATATTTATTTTCTCACAGTCTGACTGTATTTTGTGTGTGTCTGCTGTTCCTGTACTTCCCAAGGGTTATTCTCTGGTGCTGCTTTTTGTGGTCTGTTTAGACAGCTTTGTTTCATGCTGCAATTCATGTGCTGCAGACAATACCAAAAGATTAACAGGCGTGACCAAACTGTGCTGTTCATGACTGAGTATTAGAGGGGAAGTTAATCAAACTTTTTGCTGGCTAGGCCAGGAGGCTGGATTATCCTGAAACAAATGAGTCCTGTTCAAGTTCAGGAAGTCGTGATTCACAGCAATTAAGGTCTCAGGCTCTGATGTGAAAATAAAACAGTGTGATTATTTTCTGTGTAAATTTATCCCAGGAAACCTGCAGCAATAGAGGTGGCATGTTTTTATAGGGACACTTCTAAAGGAGGGAGAATAGGAGAAAGGAAACAATTCCCTTGGTCTGTCCTGCCTTTTTGCTTATTTGTGCTAAAACTAGATGCTTGCTGTTTCAATATTGACATATTTTAAGATAACTCCTCAAACCTTCCGCTGTACCTGTAAGAATTCACAGGAAAAAATATTGATAGTAAAGTAGGAATCACTTTATGTACTTAGAAATGAAGAGTTCTTAGCAAAAAAAAAGTACTAATAAATTGTAACAGGGTGGTAACAAACTGGAAAAGAAGCTAGCAATCTGGACGCAAGGATTATTTTTTAAAGAACATTTACATGTAATTGCCTGATGTAATTATGTGAGAGTGTGATGTTGCATAGATATTGTTGTTCATGCAGTAAAGAACAGTTGAAAAGTGCAAGTGGGTTGTCTTGTGATTTGAGAAAGCACTTACTTGGATACAAATTCATTGAACATTTATTTTTAATTTCACAGATGATACTATGTTGAATATCAACTGAAAATCCCATGAAGCTTTTTTTTCCCCAAATGCTCTGAGTCTGATAAAGTGCATGAAGGACTCAGAACTCCTGTGTATATTGGATTACATCATATGTCATGTGGAGTTAGGTTTTTTAAGCTTAAGTCAGTTGAGGTAGTATGACTTGGAACTGACTCTCTGGATGCACTTGCTTATTACCCTTATTTGCTATTAACAAAAGTCTGCTTTGAATTAAATAATACCAAATCTGCATTTATTGGATGTGATTCTGATACTTGTTCTGGCAAATGTTTATGTACAAACTTTAAATTATGACTGTTTATTTGTTTTTACTAAAGTCTCTTATACCTAGCTTTGTTACTTTTTATTACTGAGTTCATGGTAGCTTATGCTTCCTTGGTAGCCTCTCAAATAATCTTTGAGAGAAATGGAAAAGTCAAGTAACTATGTACCACTTCAGCACAGTGGAACTTACAGTCATGGTGTTGGCACTCAGATTTAAGACTACTTAATGTTCTAATTTGGGCATTCATCCTCGAGAAATCAAGTTGAGGCCTTAAAGACAGAAGTTTCCTGTTATGAAATATTGCTGGCAGTGAAACATACCCTAGTGCATGAGAGCCTTTCATGAAAGATACTGGGAAAAAACGAGTGTGAGTATTGTGACAGCTGGAGATCACTGACTTGCAAAAAAGTGTTTGAAATGCCACAAAGGAGAATATTTTCCTTTCTGTACAGACCTTGTATGGTGCTCATTAATTTTAGCCCTTAAAGTTACTGTCCAAGTTCTAGTGTACTGCCTCAGGAGCCTGTAAGTCAAGTTACTGTGCTGAAACAGAGGAGAGATTTCTGGGAGCTATCGTGACAGCCTTTAGAAGCTTTAAACATTTAGTCAGAATTAGAGTTCTTGACATTAGCAAGGAAATTGCTATGAACAGGAAAACAAACTGAAGATGCAGAGAGAAGAGAACTGTGAAAGCTGATGTGTGCATATTGGAGATAAACCTGTTGTCTTTTTGGATAAATAGGGGAAGAAGAACTCAGGAAAGACATGATGAGGGCAAGTCAAAAGATTGTTAAAATATAAAAATGGGAAACATATAGTTTAGCATGAGATTGAAATCTTTAGGTTATCTGACTTAAGAAATTCCATCTCTTGAGGCACTTAGGTATCTTGCTGCAAATGACATTTCTTCAAAGAAGTTAATGGACATCTGAACCATTTATATCTGTTCCAGGCATGACTTTTGTGAATGAGTTATTCTATGAGTGTTAGTTAGCTACTTTTTTATAGGAAGTCATCAGTATGTGAAAAGTATCTGTCTTTCTTAACTTAGTTGCTACAAGTAATCAACTAAAATAGTTTGGGCCATATGCGTGCAGGGAAGGAGCACAGTGCTCTGTTAGATGGCATCTGTTGGTTAATATGTGAAATAGGATTGCATCTTCACTTCAGTAGTAGAAAGGAGACAAGCCTTTTATTTGTGCATATGCCACGTGATATAAAAGGTAATTGTAACTGTTCTCATTTGTTTGCATTATGTTTCTAACCATTTTTCCCTAAAGGAAAACAGAAAGAAGAGAAAGAAAAAAACCAACATAGTTTCTTCTGCCTTGATTTAAAACAAACAAACAAAAAGGTAGTAGTAATGGTATGCTGTTCTTCTTAGGAACATCTCCTATACATTTCCTACTGAGGTAAAGTTATAAATTTGAAAATAAACAGTGGCTGTTTTGTATACAATTACAGTTGCTACAACAGAGATGAGATAATTATATTAGTGTATTTCTGTTCTTCTGATACTTTTACTTTCTGAATCATGTTTGAGTCAGGCTTGACAGGACTGCATGCTTTAGCCTTTTCCGCTTGCACATAGACCTTAGAGAATTAGCTTTGGAGCAGATTATGTGCCTTTGCCCTCTTTTGTCTTCATTCTTATGTGGCAATTTTGAATTGAGTTTCCCAGTGAAAGTTTGTAGACCCAGTGTAATTCCATTGTCTCTTAAGGTAAGGCTGTAGTGCCATGTTAAATGTTGGTAAGGAAATGGACACTTGAATTCATAACTCTCAGGGGACAGGTGGGTACGAAGGAATATGCCAATAACTAAAACAAGTTCTAGCTCTTCTCTTAGGTTCTTGCTCACTTCAGTTGCAGATTGTGTCTGTGTAGCCATCATAGCGCTGACTGTACAAAAGTCCATTTTGTGTACAGTCAGCACTATGGTCTCTTCTGAAGCTTGAGTTTCTAAGTATCTGCATGACAATGTTAATTTCTTTCTTCATCTGCAAAAACCACCCCTTTTTAAATAGTGTCTTTTTATACTAATTTGACAGGATAAAGGTGTACTTAAAGTAAATTTTGTGGACTTTGACACAATTTTTGGAAGTTTTAGAACCACAATGACTGAAGGGAGGAAGTTCAGCTTTCACAGAGAAAGATTGGGAAAGATCTTGGAGATCAGTGCTTGTATGAGATGAAGGTGAATCTTGTTGTTGAACATAGGTATTCTAGTTCCCAGGTTGTCCATGCATAGTCAGTTGGTAGATAGATACAGATGCCCTCTTATATGCATTGACCTGTTGATAAAATATGGCTTTGTTTGCATTTGTTTTAAAAATAAGTGTTAGGAATAGTAGAGTTTTGCAAGATTCACTTCTTATCCCAGCATAGATTAAATCTCTACTACATTGTTGCTTTTGTTACTCTTCCAGTTGCTTTCTATCTGCCAGCAGCAAGCTCTGCTTTGCATTCCAGATTCCATGGCATATGAGAAAGTTTAAAAAAAAACTTACAAAAAGTGGAGACATGCACCAAAGAGACATGCACACAGACTTTTGAAATTACATGTTATTTATATGAAGTTACACCATTATATAAATATTTAGTTACAGAGGTATGGCTTACCAGTAGTTCTGGAAAGCTGGCTTACATTTGGAAATTAGAATTTAATTTTTTCTAACTTTGTCCTCAAAAGTACCACAGTGCAGGCTGAGTTCCCTGCCTAGAAGGGTTGTGTCTCCCTGTGCAAATTATTTCACAGAATTCTAAACTTACAGTTGTGATAGGGTTCAGTTGTCATAGGAGGCACCAAACAGTACTAGTAGGGGGACCATGTCACAAGGATACTGTTTGTGCTAAATATTTACAGAAGTTGGAGGGGAGACTGGAGAAGTACTTGAGAGATATTTTGGCACTTAGTAAGCAGACAGAAACTGGCCCAAGGAGTAACTTGTGATAGAATCACAGAATCTCTTGATTTGGATGGGACCTACAAGGATCATTGAGTCCAACTCCTGGCCCTGTGCAGGGCATCCCCAAGAGTCACACCATTGAGAGCATTGTCCATTCTTGAGATCTGTCAGGATTGAGGCTATGACCATGTCCCTGAGGAGCCTGTTCCAGTGCCCAACATACTTGTGAGGCCAAGTGGCTATTCATAGCCTCTATACCTTTTAGGTCTCTTTATGTATTTGGTGCTTTATTTAAAAGTTTATAGAGTGTGACAGTCCCTAAATGGGCTACTTTCAGCGGCCAACAAGATCTGTCCATCACCCCAGGCTAGATGTCTGGACTAAATGGACTTTAGGTTAGCCCCCCAGTATTGCAGTTTCTATACAACATGAGCTACAGTAACTATGGAAATTTTAGTGAAAAGGTCTGAACAGCAGCAATATATAGGATTCAGCTGTTGTGACCTAGGTTATCTAATGCTAAAAATTCTGTTTCTGTTCAGCCTTTTGGGGATAAATGGGCATGTAATTGCAAAGGACTTTTCCTAGATGCTCTGGGTGAATGTGTCCCCTATTCCTCAGCATGGGTTTAGTTCTTTCCTCTGGTAGTTGCCTCAAATACAGAGTTTGTCAAGTGACCCTTTAGAAAATCAGACATGTCTTCTAGCTCCACAATTACTCACAAAACCAAACAGGAATTACAGAAGGTAATAATTTCAATTTTTGAACTGCCTTTTCAATATGTAATGATGACAGCAGAAACATGAGAGCAGTTTGTTGTCCAAGGAAGCAAACCACATTATTAATGCCAAAAGTTTCCAGAGATAAAAGCTCTGCTTCTACAGTCATTCATAGCACTTAGCAAGGAAGGCTTGCTGCTGTGATAGCCGGGTGAGCAGATGGACGGACCTTTTTGTCCTGTTCCACAACTGTGCATTTTATTTAGAATCTTGCCCAGGTTTGTCTCTAGTAGTAATCTAGTACTCATCAGATCACTGAATCTCTTAAGTAGCATTATTCCACCAGGTGGATGGACTGATCAGCTCCTGGCAGCATTCTTCAAAGGATTTTGTTCTTACTTGCTGCAAAGGAACATGCTGCACCAGTACAGATTTCAGTGCTCAGCAGGACTGACACCCCAAGGCTGGTTTTGTTATTCCTGAAGCCAAATAGGGTTTTTCTGGCTTTGCAGTTCACGAAGAATTTCTTGCTGGGTTTCTCCAAGTCATGTATGGCTTAGCAGGACTCTGAGGAAAGTGGCAGTGAGAAGGTCTGCCTGCATGGCTGGCATGCTGGCTCAGCAGTAAAGGAGTGGGTTTGGTTCTTCATTGACTTCCACAGTTGGATGATGGGGGGCATGTTGCTGTGCTCCTGTGGTTAGCTGGCTGGTCTCTGGTTATGGTAACAAAATACAGCATTCTTTGCACTGGAGCTCTCATTTCTCCATCAAAGTCCTTTTCTACAGTGAGTATCTTAGGCTTTAAGCATCATTTGCGGTATTGTCACTCTTTCTTGCCTGTTCTGTTCACTAACTTCTGGTGAAACTGAGGTACTCATTACTTGTAGGCAACACTTAGAGCAGTAGAGGTGGGAAGAAAATACCTAGTGTTCGCTGGTTTTCCTCGCTTGAAATTCGTCTGTGGCACTAATGATGGAGTAGTGAGGTTGTTAGAGAAGGGCTTTGTTTTCGGAGCCAAAATGAAAGTTTAAATTAGAAATAGAGTTTGCAAGGGATCTTCAAAGACCACAGTAAGAAATTCTTGTCCTGATTATGCCTTGGGATATTACTGGAATGCAATTGAATTATTTTTTTACTCATTTTGACGTTTCTCCAAGAACATCTTTTGAGATTAAGCAAACTAATCTATCCTCCCTACCTCTTCTCCCAGCTTTAGACTGAATTCTTCAGCAGGAGCATGACTTCAGGACAGAGTTACAGTCAAGAGCTAATGTAGTTCGAAGATGGATGTAGTAGACATTTACAGGATGGGCACATATTTTTGGGTATACCTGAATCTCATGTGTGAAATAATGATATTTGTGTACACGTAATGTATCTTACATTATACGGAATAATCTGTTCGTCCAAGTCTAACAGCCAGATGGCTTCTGCTGTTGTATTATTGTATTCCACTGAGCAAGAGTAGAAGAATTTGAAATACAATGGCTTGCTGCTATGGCTGCAGCAGGTTTATTCTAATTTCTTTTACATTCTTAACATGTGTAGTGAATCTTTTGTTGTATAATTTGAGGATTGTACTTAAATCTAAAATATGGGGAAGATCTTCCTCTATCTAATTTAGACATGTCAATGTGAGCATAAAAATTCAAAACCATGTATTTGTAAAGCACCTTCCAGATAACATGAGATAAATATTTATTTTTTAAATAGTTTTCAGCCTAAGCAAAGTATGGGTGAATGTATGTGATCATATAGAGATGGAAACGAGGAGTTTAAGATCGGTATAGGATGAAAAGTTGTTTCTTGAAAGCTGCTGATGGGAGCATATGGGAACCATTCCTCAGGCTGTGTTCAGACCTCAACTATTGACTCTACAACATCATTATGTACTTCCCTTTGACCATTTCTAGAAGTAGTTTTTCCTGTGTGTGCCTTTTTGCTTGTAGAGACATTGTACTGCTGTTCATAGCCCTGTGTCTTTGTGACTGCTCATGGTGTTTCCTTGCCTTTGCTGTGTCATTGCTTGTTTGCCCGCCTTGTTCTTCAGGTTTGCATTTTTGTCTGCTTAAGCTTTGAATGCTTTCACCGAAAGTTAGAGTATGAGGTAAAGAGGAAATTAGTTTTGTTCACTTCTTTTTTTAATTGTTTGTGAAAGACAGGATCATTTCAGGATCTCCTCAGTATTAGCTTGTTCCTGCTGCTGTGTCTTAAACACTAGATAAACTTTTCTGTGAAAGGTAGAATTATTCTATGCTTCTTTTTCCTGGTGCACATGCTGGTTTCATTCTGGCAGGCTTGACTTATTGCTGGTTTCATACTAGAATGCTATAGCAAAATGATATGTCAAAAGCATATGAAAGGATACAAATAAACTTGAAAATTAAAGTCCAAATCCTAAATAAAAATGATAGAAGTGTTTCCTATTCCTTGGTTTTTCCACCCAGCACTTCTTTGCCCTTAATCCCAGAAATAAGCTTGAAACTCTTCTGTTTCATGTATTGTTATATATGTAGAATGTTAAAATATTTTTTTAGATCAATTTCAGGTGGAGCAAGCAAGAGCCCGCCATCAACTCCTTCCTTCTATATTGCAGGCCCACTCCCCGATGGATGGGAACAAGCTATGACCCAGGATGGAGAAATTTACTACATAAACCATAAGAACAAGACCACATCTTGGCTAGACCCAAGGCTTGACCCACGCTTTGGTAAAAGTTCATCTCAATTCAGAATTCTTGATTTGCTTCAGTTCACTCAGCTTTAATTTTGCAGGCATATTTTGAAAAATTTATATAGTATGATTAAAATATATTTTAAGTTGTAGAGGCCTTATTTAAATAACTTTTTTGCTTTTTTTTCTAAGATAAATACTATTCGCTTATATCCTCCAGGACTGTATGTTACCCAAGTTTCTAATGCTACGGGTTGGTATTTTGCCACATGATCCATACAGTTCTCCAGAGTGGTGACATTCAGAAATTACTTACTGAGATGGTTTCAGACAAGCTCACTCGTCCCTTTAAATTAGCAAAACTTTACTGCAGAAGAATCTTTTAATTCCTAAACAAATATTTACTTTCCTTTGTGCTATCTTAAGAGGTCATTGTCAAATAATAGTTCATGCTGTTTAAATACACTTGAAAATTATACCAGTTTATAATTCCAGCTTGTCACAGTGATTATCACGACGAAACTTTTTTGTATTAAACAAATGATGAGGAATTATTAGTTTTGTTGCTCCTACTATAAAAGGTAATAACCTTTTTGTGGGATAAAGACTACTTAATTTTGAAAATAGAAAGTAACTTAATGATCACAAAGTCTGGATGGAGAAATTAAACAAAACAGAACTTTTATGTAATTTTTTTCAATTATATTTTTGATCTGTATGAAGAGCAGAACTGCAAGCTTTTCAATAAAGTATTGGCACTGATGACTGTGAATAGAAATCACATATAATATGAAGACTCTAAACTACTTTCATAGATTATCCAAGATGTATTTAGTATGGCATTAAAATTTCTGGTTTTTTGTAAAGCCATGACCTGTGGGTGTCAGCCTTATTAGCTTGCCCTTGATTTGTTTTCCCAATAACTTACTATTTTCAACTCCTTTGGATTTTAGTTATTTTTCCAGAGCCATGGAAAAACAGGAGGAGTGAAAAAAAAAAAGAAGAGATCATTGTGGTTTTCAGGCTTTACTTTTGGACTCAGTGCAGCTAAATGAAAACAGTGTGCAGATCACTGAGTAGGTCAGGCTGAGGGGATGCAAAACCTTTGAAGCTTTACAGGGGTTGACCTAACAACAACTGTGGGCCCCTTCTGGGAGAGGCATTAACTCCATGAATGCCATATAAATACAGAGCTACAAAACTCAACAGTCACTGTTCTGTTTTGTTTTCTGAAATGTCAGCTAGAAATTCTGCATTTTGGTTTGTAGGCTTGAGTGCTTACTTACAACATCCGTTTACACTTACGGAGAATGCCGGATTGTCATGCTTTGTTTATAAACTACTCACCAGTTTGTAGACAGGTTGAACCACTATGCAACTTGAGCCCAAAGGTGGGGTGTCAGCTTTGGCAAATGTCCATGCTGGCTTTAACACCAGCCAGAGCTACAGACCTGTTTGCACATTGCAAGAGGAGTGTGTGGGTAATTTGCAACTTCACAATTACTTAGTCTGTGAGTAAGGCTGAAAAGGAAGCAGTCATTTTGAAAATCAGTGTTGCCTTTTGCAATTACATTTACTCAGGTAATCTTGCCAGGGTATCATTTTTTCTTTACATGCATTACTTTGTCAATTCTGAAGATTAACTGGAATTAAAAAGGGGTGTGGAAAATGCCTTAATGGACAGAGGTTGTGAGTGAGATGAATCTTGCTTTTCACAACTATTTTGTATTCTGGTAAATAGAGTGGTCCAACTGTAAGGGCAAAAGCTGCTTGTCTTGTGTGTCCTGAAACTCTATCAAATGTTAAGGCTGTGCAGTTAAACTGAAAGAAGTTAGAAATGTCCAAAAGACTGATTAAGGGTTTCTTGCTGCATAGCTTCCCTTTTTGGGCCCACTGTGTATGTGTATCCCAGACAGGCTTGAGTACATGCCAAGGCTCTTTATTTTGTGGTCGGACTTTTAATCTGTTCCAGACCTTTTCAGTCAAAGAACTCAAGTGTAACTGAAAGGGGCAGGAAAGGAAAAAAAAAAGCATGTGGGCTCTTCTGATCTAGAGTGACGGCAAATAGAGACAAGCTGCTAGTTGCTGTTGAGCTTGAAGGAGTTTTCCTTGAAAACCTAAGTTGTACACATTGTATTGTGGCTTATGTTTTTATAATTTGAGCCAAGAAAATACAAAATTCTTTTCCTGTTGCTTTCTTACTTGTGACTTCCTTAAGTCACTCCAGTCAAGAAACAAAAAAAAAATCTCTGACAGAGTTAAATTACTGAGCTTGCATTTATTTACTATGTGGAGATCCTCAACAAATATGTGCTGTGACCCTAAATAGCATGTGAATGACTCAGAAGTTTACCTTTCTGTGCTTAATATAGGTTGAAACTTCTGTTTGTATTTTTCCCCTGAGGATGACCAAACCCTTTTTTATCACCATGCTTTAATATAAGGGCTTGGTTTTCAATATTTGTGACTACTAATACTTCCGGAAGCAGGATAAATTCATCTTTGTCTTGTGGAAGCTTTTGGTTATTACAGTGATGCTAACAGTGATTGAAAATGAAGAAGGAATTAATGTCTCTCTCTGCCACTTTCACCAATCTTAACAACCATTGAGGAAAACAAATCTATTCAATGGTATGTGCAAACATACTCCTCTGTTCCAGTATTCAGATGCAGAAGGTATGAAGAGTTTTTGCCCGTATTGCTTCTGAATTCCCAGCTTCCAGGGAGACAGCCTTTATGTCTCTGTGTGTTCCTCATCAGATGGAAGCTTTGCATTCATCTTTATTTTCTCTAGTAGGTGTGGATATAGCTCTTTTTTAAATAGTGCTTGGAATTTTCCATTATTGTGGCTAGAAAAGAGTGAGTGGAAGGAAAATCAGTTGGAAAAATTATTTTTGGTGGACTGATTTGGTGTGGAGCATTCTGGTATAGCATTCATGCTTTTAAACAAAAAATGAAGGAGTGTAATTAGCATGTATTCTTTCTTGGAGCAGACTTTTAGAAATAATGCATCAAAAAAGAGCCTCTGTCAGAATAGCTGTAGGGTAGGCTGGGTCTCAAACCTGAGTGCTCCAAGTTGAAGATAAGAACGTCATTCCAAGACTCAAGTGTAACGTCTTTGAAATGGGTTAGAGGTCTTCAGCTACACCATTTAAGTGTCTGTGAAGTCCTGTGGCTCAGACTTTCATTCTCCAAGTCTACAAATACAACTTTAAAACAGTTTTGTGTTAGGATAATTCACAAACTTTAATATCTAGGAAAGAACTAAGAAGGAAAGGAGGGTCTTCTGATGCCAAGCACAGGCAGTCGTAAAGATGACATGGGATCAAAGGAGCAGGGAGATGGGAGGGGGTTGGTCCTTGGGCTCGTGTCAGCAGGATTCTTGTCTGGTGGAGCATGTGGTAAAAGCATGCTGTCCTACCTTCTCAGTGCCTTTGCAGGCCTCAAAGTAAGAGACCTCAAATTGCCTTAGTTTTTCGTTTTATTTAGAAGAGGGTTTTTTCCCTTGATGGAATTGGACTATTGGGTTGAACTTTTTTTTTGGACAGTTTTGTCTTTTCTACTGTTGTTCATTGGTCATTCTTCACAGATCATACTGGATTTTTGAGCCTTTCAGATAACATAACGTATTTTCTTGATACTGAAACATCTGGATAGGAAGCAGGTCAGCTATGCATTCGGAGTGGCTGGAGTTGGTGAAGAACATCTGCTTTTCCTATAAAACCAAATTTCCTAGAACCAGTTGAGGTTTAAAATTGTTTAGCTTTTTTGCTGTAAGTTTCCAAGAATTGGCTTTTGTATCAAATATCATTAAAGGTATTTTAAGTCTTATTTAAGTTTGCCAATGATAGGACTTTGTTTTGAAATGCAACCTTAAGTACTTTGCCCTTTGAGGGTCCTTAATATATTAAATTCAAAGATGAAGTTAAAGTGGGAAAACACTGGAAACTGGCAGTTGGTTTCTGCTGGTTTAAGTTTGGTGTGGAGACCTTACTACTCCAGTAGAGTAGTCAGACAAGTGTCTGTAGGGATTAGAGTAAAGTTTGAGTTTTCTTTGGTCTTAAAGACTTGTAACATGGTCATACCAATGTTGCATGCTCCCAGTTTCTTTCCTTCTGGTTTTCCAATTCTTGGAGCTGTCATAATGGGGTATGAAGCAAAATATGTGACCTCAGGTTGAAATCACTGCCATGACTTTATCACTCCCACTTAGAGATAATGTTAATGTTCTTTGAAGTTCTGCATGAATTTTGGATGAGGGGGAAGGTAAGGCAAAACAATGTTTAATATCATTAGGAAAAGTGCCATAGGGGCCCTCCGTACAGTAGCTGCTTGACTGCACAATTAGAAAATTAAACAAAAGTGATGATGATAGTATGATTACAGAGAAGGTACACCAGGTTTTGCTGCTTCCTTTTTTTTGTAGTATAAAAACTGTCTTTGAAAAAGTGAAAAGAGCTTGTTCAGAAACACTGTAGTCAAGTATACATTTAATTCAAACATATATTTATCATTTCTGTTTAAAGAAAAAACAAGCAAACACACAACAAGGTTGAAATTCAATTAAAGCTTAAGCTTCAGAGCATCTGCTAATTTTTAAGTATCCGAAATTAAAAGGAGGTATTCCGTAGTGTTGCTTTCTTATTCCTTACCTATCTAGCACTTTGTTTAATATAAATTCCTTCAAATCAATTTGTAGAAGCCTTTCAAGATGCAGATTTTTGGACAGGATAGAACTGGAGCGCTAGATTGGAAAACTGGGGTTTGGCCTTTGTCTAGTCAAAAAGAAAAAAAAAAGCCCAGACTTTGTGTCTGATCATAGTAGCATTTAAGACTTGTTAAGTTCCAGATCTGCCTTCAGTTTTTGCACAAAAAGCAGAGCATGACCACAAGTGGCTTTGGTCTGCAAATGCAATGGCATATCCTCTTTATATACCCTGTAAAACGAAGGAGGATTTGACTCCATCTAAAAAGGTCCAGTGGTATTAGATTTTTCACTTGCTTGTCTCTGTTTTTCCAGAAGAATAGTTTCAGGAG